GTCGTCGACGTCGTCGTCGTCGTCGACGTCGTCGTCGCCGTCGCTGCCGTCGTCGTCGCTGCAGTCTGGCACAGGCCGGCGACACTGCGCAGCGTGTCGCGGCCAGCTCGGACGACCCCGGGCTGGACGCGGCGATGCTGGGGGCCTACCACGCCGCCGTGCGGCGTGCGGCGGCCGAGGCACGCGGGGCCTGCACTAAAGGATCACCCCGCGCGGCCGCCCGAGGCGCGGGCCACGGTCCGCAAGCCGCCGTCGTCCTCGAGTCGCGAAGGGTTATATAAATCTGCCAGCCCTCCCAGCTCCTCCTCCTGTTCCTCCTCCTCCTCCTCCCACTCCTCCCCCTCCTCCTCCTCCTCCTCCTCCTCGTCCTCCTCCTCCTCCTCCTCCTCCTCCTCCTCCCACTCCTCCTCCTCCTCCTCCTCCTCCTCCTCCTCCTCCTCCTCCTCCTCCTCCTCCTCCTCCTCCCTCTCCTCCTCCTCCTCCTCCTCCTTCTCCTCCTCCTCCTCGTTCTCCTCCCCCTCCCCCTCCTCCCCCTCCTTCTTCTCCTCCTCCTCCTTCTCCTCCCAGCTCCTCGCCCGAAGGGCCCCAGAGAAGGGCCCGCGTGGCCTGGTGCCAGGAAGGGCCCGACTTGCCCGGCGCCGCCCGAGGCCCAGGCTGTCAGGCCCGAAGGCCGACGTCCTCGTGTCGCGAAAGGTTCTGTGAATCTGTTTGGCCCCAGTACATGTTGTGCACCTATCTCCATACCTTACCGTGCCATGGTATCTCAGCCCCATCCTCCCCCCTCTCAGTTGGAGATTGGTCACTCGAAGCCCCATCTCTGGGGGTGGATGTATCCCCATCTATGGGGGTGAATCGGCCTGTGCGGTCAAGGCCACTCCAGTTGGAATAGGGATCGGTAAACGATGCCCATGCCCTCCTCCAACTCCTCGCCCGAAGGGCCCTGGGGAAGGGCCCGATTGGCGTGGCGCCACTTGCCCTCGGCGCAGATGGCGGCCATCGTGGCCGCGGGCCCTGACACGCAAGTGGCGCGATGCCACCTGCGCTCGGCCACTCTAGGGGCCTCTCCGTGTCCCCTGGCCTCCAAGCGTGTTCTGAGGCGGGGGCCGCTTTGGCACACTTGGTGGGCAGCTGATGTCTGGAACGTTGTGCTTCTCGATCGTGGCTGAGGATTGTGAAGTCATTTCTATTTGGGGGCCTCCCCCCCTGGGGGCCCTCGTCGCCACGGATGGATCCGCCTTCTGGTCGAGGCTCGCCCCAGGGCAAGGACGTCTAGAGTCAGGAGGGAGATCTAGGTACAAACGCACGTAAACGCTGCCTTTCCATGAGGGTATGGGATTCGGGTTTAGGGTTTAGGGTTTAGGGTTTAGGGTCCACTAACCCAAACTTGCAGCCCACTTGACCGTGTCCCACCCACCCATGACCCAAGACATATTGATCTCGATGCGGTATCAACACGCGACTCGCAAAACGACGACGAGGGCGACACCGATGACGACGACGTTGATATTGTTTTCGAAACGACGACGACGCGGCCGCGCAAAGACACCTGGGACGCGGCTGCAAAGGCGATGCGGCCCGCGCGCGTGACGACGCGATTTGAAGAACCACGTTTTTTGACGCGAGTCCCTGTGCGATGCAGGGACGCCGCCCAGCGGCGGAGAGGTTGCACGCAAGATCCACGTTTATTGACGCGAGTTCCTGTGCGACGCAGGGACGCCGCCCAGCGGCGGCGAAGTTGCACGCAGTGGTTGCCCAAGGTGCGCGGGGTGACTCGTCGCCCCGAAGAGAGGGATCCCCCTGTGCATCCTCGGGACTGCGCCGCGGCGCGCAAGGCCGATGCAAGGGCGATGCGACGCGCGCGCGCGCGAAGCGACATCACATGCTCCCCGCAGCAACTTGGCGACGCCTTGGCGATGCATTGCGCAGCTTGACACGCGGCGCTCGGGGCGAGTCGTTGCTTGGTGAGAGTCACCCCATGTTTGTTTCCTTGGCCCCGCGACGCGACGCGCGAAGGCCGATGCATTGGCGATGCGACGCGCGCGCGCGAAGCGACACAACGGGAAGGCCTCCCCCACACTGAACCGCACCTGGCCGCTGCTTTGGCGATGCATAGCACAGCCTGGCGCGAGGCGCGCGGGATAGTTCGTTGCTTCCACGCGAGGGCCTCCTTGCGACTGACAAGCGCGCGCGTGAGGGGTGCGCAACGCCATTCCTGGCGCTCCGAGGGCAAGGATCTGCGTGAGGGGTGCGTCATGGGATTTTATCGGGCCAGAACGCCATTCCTGGCGCTCCGAGGCCAAGGATCTGCGTGAGGGGCGCACCCTGGGATTTGCAGATCCTCCCGGAACGCCATTCCTGGCGCTCCGAGGGCAAGGATCTGCGTGAGGGGTGCGCCAAAATGGGGGGGGGCGGCCGAAGGGGGGACTTTAGGAACGCGGAAGGCCTTTCAGGATTGAAATGTTTATAGGCTCTTAGTTTTTAGGGTTTAGTATGGGGGGTGGTGGGGCAGAGGAAGGCCCAGGAAGTATGGTGCAACATGTGTGAAGTCATGGGATCTCGGTTGACTTGCCTGTGCCTCCCTGGGCCCCGCCACAGAGGCCGACCTCGAGGTACTGCACTCATCAGCGCCTGGGCCAGAGAGAGAGAGAGAGAGAGCGTTAAGTCGGGCCCGTCCCTCGACAGGGGGAGTATTCGAAAGTAGTCAACAAAGAGTCAGGATACGATATTGTAGCATTTTTTGGGGGTCATTTTGGGGCACTTTTGGGGTACCCGCCGGTCGCTGAAAGTATGTATTTCTGGACCCCCAGATCCCAATCTACTTCAAGCGCTTTCCTACTTCAAAACTCGACACGCTTTTGCTGTGTTTTGTGATTCCCTGGGGGGTCCTGGACCCACTCAACTTGATCCGCCTTCCTACCTCATGTTTTTACCGACCTTTTCCGACCAGCGGGTATTTTTCATTTTTCGTCCAAAATCCCCCGTATGGGGGACAGGCCCGACTCTTAGAGAGAGCGCGGCCCGCGAGGCAGAGCTTAAGTCGGGCCTGTCCCCCTAAAGGGGGATTTTCGACGAACAAATAAAAATACCCCAAAAATATCCCAAAAAGGTAAAACATATTCTAAAAATGGTCCCCAGACTTTTTTTGGAGTTGTTTTTGATCATCTTGGGGGTACTTTTTTTATTTTTCGTCGAGAATCCCACCGTCGGGGGACAGGCCCGACTGAAGGCAGGGCCTGGCCCGCGGAGGGGTCAAGGGCTGCCAGGCCCCGGTGCATCGAGCAGCTCGGGGCGTGGCCTCTCCGCCTCTGCCGCCGCCCCTCGACGAAGAGAAATCGTCACACACAGAAGCTTTCGGCTGCCTGAGGACTGAGGAGGTGGAGGAGGAGGAGGAGGAGGAGGAGGAGGAGGAGGAGGAGGAGGAGGAGGAGGAGGAGAGGAGGAGGAGGAAGAGGAGGGTGGAGGAGAAGGAGAGGAGGGGCGGAGGAGGAGGAGGAGGAGGAGGAGGACGAGGAGGAGGAGGACGAGGAGGAGGAGGAGGCGGAGGAGGAGGAGGAGGAGGAGGAGGAGGGAGGAGGAGGAGGAGGAGGAGGAGGAGGAGGGGAGGATGTGGAGGGGGGGAGGAGTAGGGGAGAGGGGAGGAGGGAGGAGGAGGGAGGAGGAGGAGGAGGAGGGAGAGGAGGATTCCCTCCCGTTCCAACTTCTGGTGGTGGTGGTGGTGGTGGTGGTGGTGGTGGTGGTGGAAAACAGGCCCCTCAAAAGCCCGCGCTCCGCGCGGATTTCTTGGATCGGCGCCTGGGGCCCCCCCGGCGCCGCCCCTGGCGCGCTCCGCGCGCCAGGGGGGGGGGCGTCCGGCGCAGATCCAAGAAATTCGCGCGGAGCGCCACAAGTTTATGTTTATGCTGTTTTTCTTTTTCTATCCTCGTCCCCAGCGGTGGGTGCCCCCCAGTGGCAGTTCCTGGCCGCAAACCGTGACGCACCCGAGGGACACTGCTTCAGGGCGGTCCGTTGGCAGACCTGGCAGTTTGGTGAGGGGTCCTCCTCCTCCTCCTCGCCGCCGTCCTTTCATGCTCCTCCTTGCTCCATCGGCGGGTCCGTCTGGCAACCGGCGCCATCGGACCCCTCACACCCCAGCCAAAATCCTGCGAGAAGGGGGATGGAACAGACTTTAGCTGCTCCGCCTCCTTCCCTCCACCCCCGCCCACGAGACGACCCAAGGAGGGCCCCGACACGCCGACACGACCCCAGAGACCTCCACGACGGCCCTGAAGAGTCCCAGGCTGGATTAGTACACTGCCCCTAAGACGGCTTCCGAAGGCCAGGACTGCCCCCGCTAGTCCCTTCTTCTGCCCCCACCCCGCTCCTCTGCGTCAGCGGAGGGAGGATTAGAGTGAGGCTTCGAAGGGAGAGGGGAGGAGGGAAGACGGGTCAGAATGAGGAGAGCGACCAAGATGGTGTGCGGACGGACGGACGGACGGAGGAGCATGCAGAACGAGGATGATACCTTCATTCATGATGATTGCGATGATGATGATGATGATGATGATGATGATGATGATGATGATGATGATGATGATGATGATGATGATGATGATGATGCTGATGTGATGCTGATGATGCTGATGATGATGATGATGATGATGGTGATGGTGATGGTGATGGTGATGGTGATGGTGATGGTGATGGTGATGGTGATGGTGATGGTGAGGATGAGGATGAGGATGAGGATGAGGATGAGGATGAGGATGAGGATGAGGATGATGAGGATGAGGAGGATGATGATGATGATGACGATGACGATGACGATAGCGATGACGATGATGATTGCGATGGTGATGGGGAGGGGTGCCGTTGATGATGATGATGATGATGATGATGATGATGATGCTAATGATGCAGATGACGATGATGTTGTTGGTGATGATGATGCTGATGACGACGACGATGTGATAATGATGGTGTTAGTGATGGTGATGGTGATGATTGAGATGGTGATGGTGATGATGGATGATGATGATGCTTGTGGTGATGATGTTGGTGATGACGACGACGATGATGCTGATGATGGTGATGATGACGATGCTGATGATGGTGATGATGCTGATGATGAGGATCATGATACTGGTGAGGATGATGATGCTCATGATATTGATGTTGCTGGTGCTGCTGATGGTGTTGGTGCTGATGCTGATGATGATGCTAATGCTAATGCTGAATCTGATGCTGTTGCTGTTGCTGATGATGCTGGTGCTGATGGTGATGCTGGTGTTGATGATGATCATTGTGGTGGTGGCTGATGGGTGTAATGATGATGCTGATGCTGATGACGATGCCGACAGTGGTGGTCCTGGTGGTGGTGATGATGACAATGATGACGATGATGATGATGATGATGATGATGATGATGATGATGATGATGATGATAATAATGATGCTGATGCTGATGCTGATGCTGATGCTGATGCTGATGCTGATGCTGATGCTGATGCTGATTCTGATGATTCTGGTTGTGGTGGTGGCGGTGTATGGTGGTGGTGGCCATGGTGACGGTGGTGATACAGACGGTGATTAAGATGGCGATCGTGATAAGGATTATGATGGTGTTGCTGCTGATGATGGTAGTGATGATGCTTAGTATGATGATAATGATTATGCTGTTGGTGATGGTGATGTTGATGCTGGTGCTGCTGATGGCGATCCTGATGATGGGGGGAAAGAGGATTTGGGAGGATGAGGGGGATGGGCGGGAGTCGGGAGGATCGGGAGAGCGAGCAGGATGGGTAGGATCAGGAGGCTGGAGTAGGTGGAGGAGCACGCGGAGGAGGAGGAGGAGGAGGAGCAGCAGCAGCAACAGCAGCAGGGGCGGCCGCGGCGGCGACGGCCGCGGCGGCGGCGGCCGTGGCGGCGTCGCCGCGCGCAGGCGCCGCGTGTGCCGCTGTCGCCGGGCGAGGCCCTGGTGCTCGACGGCCGCCGCGCGCTGCTGGGGTGCGGCGCCGCTTCCGGTGGGCGGGCGGGGGGGGCGTCGTCGTCGACGTGGCGTGGTGCAGTCGACGTCGTCGTCGACGTGGCGCCGTCGTCGAGGCGCCTGCGTCGGTCGTGGCGCCGTTGTCGTTGCGCCGTCGTCGAGGCGCCGTCGTTGTGACGCCGTCGTCGAAGCGCCCGCGACGCGGCGGCGGCGACGTGGCGGCGCCGTCGTGGGGCCGTCGACGTGGCGCCGTCGTGGAGGCGCCGGTGAGGTGGCGCTATCGTCGTGGCGCTATCGTCGTGGCGCCGTCGTCGTGGCGCTGTCGTCGTGGCGCCGTCGTCGTGGCGCCGTCGACGTGGCGCCGTCGACGCGGTGCCGTCGACGTGGCGCTGAGGCCGTCGCTGCCGTCGCGGCGAGGTGGTCGTCGCCGTGGTGCCGTCGACGTTGCCGCGGAGAGAGTGGGTTCCAGGCCTTCCCACTTGGGTCCGAGTGTAGTTGGGGTCGGAGGATCGCGCCGCATCGCCGATGCATCGGCGATGCGGCAAGATCCTCCGACCACATCTACTAGCGCTTTACTTTGGACACCTCCAGGGATGCGGGGAACAAATCAACGGAGCTGGCATGTTTGTTACCAGTTTTTTGTTTGGTCGTGTGTGTGTGTGTGTGTGTGTGTGTCGTTGGATGTCTTTGGCGTACGCCGCCTCGGTCCGCCGGGCTGTGCTCGGCAGCCTCCTGCATTGCCATGGCCGTGTCGGCGCAGTCCCCGTGCATGCGCGGTCTCGCTGCTTCCCGTAGGTCTTAAGTCGGGCATGACCCTCCACATGAAGAAGATGCGATCATAGAATCGAAGACTCATCGGGTGACAGTTTCGGGCCGGACGAAAGGCCGGGGTTGGGAAAGGGGGGGTTACGAAATTTGCTGCATGAAGCTGATTTAGGCCCCACCGAGGGGCACATTCCTCGATACATGGGCGCCTCCCGGCGCCAGGAGGCGCCGGGAAAATCAGCTACGTGAGCTGATTCTCAAACCCCCCCCCGTGCTATCCGTCCCTTTCGCCCGACCCGACAGTTATCCGTGCCATGCGAAAATCAGTATGATAATCGTCTGGATCTCGTCTTTTGGGATTGGGCTCAGCGAACATACACTAAACGCAGTTTGCATGCTGCGCCGTGCGGCGCCACCATTGCCCGTTTCGCCGCACTTGGTGGCGGCAGCGCGTGGTATCGCGTTTTAGCCGAGACATGCTTATGTGACGAGGTGACCTATGCAGCGTGCGCAGTGATGATCGACCGCGCGTCGTCACCGTAGCGGGAATTGCGCGGCGCTGCGAATCGATTTGCGCGCAGTACTGGCACTTCGACAGGCACCCTTTGGTGAAGCCCCAGCGGCCCTGCAGATCAGGGCCCCTTTGTTTTTTTTTGTGTTTTCTTACGCACGCCCACAAGACCCGCCCGAAGAGTCTTTGTGGCTGTGGCCCGCTTCTTCAATGTTTCCTTCCTTCGTTCTGCTCTCCCGTGGGCTCGCGGGGTTCAGTTCAGTGAGGGGGGAGGAGGAGGAGGAGGAGGAGGAGGAGGAGGAGGAGGAGGAGGAGGAGGGAGAGGAGGAGGAGGAGGAGGGAGGAGAGGGGAGGAGGAGGAGGAGGTGCTTTCTAGCCGCCGCGGTCGGGGTTGGCTCTGGGGGGCGCGCGCAGCACCCCCTGCGCGCTCTTCTTTGATGGCTTGCCGACGGCGGGATCCCCGATGGCGCCGGGCGCCGCGAGCGGTCCGTTGTGTGTGTGTTCGTTTGTTTTCTTGTTGTTGCTCGTTGTTCCGTTGTCTCGCTGTTGTTGTTGTTGTTGTTGTTGTTGTGGTTGTTGTTGTTGTTGTTGGTGTTGTTGTTGTTGTGGTTGTTGTTGTTGTTGTTGTTGATGTTGATGTTGCTGTTGCTGTTGCTGTTGCTGTTGTTGTTGTTGTTGAACATTATTTATTCTAAAGAATAATTATTGTTGGGACCCCTGGTGCGCGCCCCCCTCGCCGCGCCTAGGCCGCAGCCACATTTTCATCATTTTCGTGAGGAAGTCTCAGGCAAAACGTGGGTGTCCGGATCCGGTTGTTTTGTTGACGCCCGCTTTCCCTTGCAAAAAACACTATAAAATGAAATTTCTTGTTCTAACATAACCAAACTTCAAGAATCCTTTGAAAAAAATGACACGAAGTGCACACTCGCGCGCGCAAGATGAAATCCTTCCAAAACCTTAGTTTTCGTAGCGATTTTAACATAAAAACATGAAAAACCAATGTTTTTTTCAAAACAAAGTTTCAAACATTCATCTTGCGCGCTCTTGCGGATTTCTGAGGAAACCCAATATTTTTCAACATTTCTGTCAAACGGGCTCTTGCGAGCAACTTTTTCACGTGCTTCGAACTTCTGCAACAACGGTTGTGCGCATGCCAGGGCCATCATCCCTGTCAAATAATACCATATTGGACACATTCGTTTTTTCTTCGCGCGCGCACGCCGTCGTCGTCGGCCGCGGGGCCCTGAATAGTAGCCACGGTCGTCCGCATGCCACGAAGTGAAGTGTCCGAACGTCATAGGGCGGGAAGCTGGGTGTGGGTGGTGGCGAAGAGTCGTTTGGAAATTTGGTAGAGCTTGAACCGGCCCCCCCACAAAGTGGGGGTATTGCCCGCCTCCTATGAAAACCCTGGCACTGGTGAGAACGGAGTGTCCCCAGTCTTAAATGATTGTTGTTGTTGTTGTTGTTGTTGTGGTTGTTGTTGTTGTTGTTCCGTTGTTCCGTTGTTCCGTTGTTCCGTTGTTCCGTTGTGTTGTTGTTCATTGTTGTTCGTTGCTGTTCGTTGTTCTGAAAAAGGACGTGTCATATTCGTTAGAATCTGATGCGTCGTTTTCAGGCGCCGCTCGCGTGAACGCGGATCGCCTTTAGCGTGGAGAGGATACAAGCATGGCTGCGCCAGGAGCTCACTGAATGCGGAAACCCTGCTTGGTGAGCATGCGTCGCGGGCTGCCCCCCCCCCCCCCGACGACCCCGGCGACCACCACTTGCTCCAGCATTCCGCCTGCGCCGCCTGGTCGTTGTTACCGCTGTAGGGTCCGTAGCCGCAGTTTCGTCGCGGGCGAGCCTACTCTCCCGCCCCCTGGCTGGGTCCATCAGCTGGCGGAGGCTTCCCTTGTTCATTCTCTTCGTCTTCCTTCTTCTCGTGTTTAGCAGCGGTTCGCAGCCGTTCCAGCGCTGGGCTGGATGCGCCGCGACTTGATTGCATGATTCGCTGCCGTTTGCCCGAGGTGAGGGCTCAAATGTAGCAGGTTTTTGGATACTGATTGTGGCGATGACGACGGTATTTTACGATGTTGTTGGTGAGGAGGAACATGGGGATTGAGGAGGAAGAAGAAGAGGAGGAGGAGGAGGAGGAGGAGGAGGGGGACAAGGGGGAGGAATACGATGAGGGGAGGAGGAGGAGGAGGAGGAAGAGGACGAGGAGGGGGACGATAATGTGGCATGACTTGGGTGGTGGTGGTTGTGGTGCCGCCATGATGATGAGTGTGGTGGTGACGATAATTTGTTTATAATGATGGTGAAGCCAGTGATGATAATAGTGATGGTGGTTGTGATGATGATTATTTTGGTGACGATGTGGAGGATGCATTTGTTGGTGGCGTTGATGATGCTGCTGCTGCGGCGGTTGATATTGCTGGTGGTGGTGATAGTGATATGGCTGGTGGCGATGGTTTTGATGACGATGATGCTGCTGATGACGCTGTCGTTGTCGATGATGGTGCTGGGACTGCTGATTTCGATTATCATGCTTATGAAGAGTACTGCTACGATGTTGTTGCGAACGCAGCGGGTGACGTTGCCGATGATGACAAGTGTGACGACGACGCCAACAGGAGGGAGAGGGGGAGGATGTCGCATATGAGAACGAGGACACCCAAGACGACGACGTTGACAACCACGGCGGCGGCTGCGACGTCGACGGTGGCGAGGACGGGGGCGGCGACGGTGACTGCCCGGCCTCTGGAGGCGGCGGCCTTTTTTGGCGCGCGTGGGCCTGGGCCGGGAGTGGCGGCGGGGGCGAGGGCCACAGCGGCTTGCCCACAGGGCCGAGAAAAAGGCGCGCGGCGTCGCCGGCGGCGCCCCGGTTGGCCTGCAGCCGGGAAGGGGGCGTCAGGGGCAAATATTTGGGGTAGCGACCGAACAACACGCACCCATGTTGAGAGCCGATCCTGTTCCTCCTCGTCCCCCTGGTCCTCCTCCAAGCCCACGGCTCTGTCAGGTTGGGAGGGGATCAGCAGCAATGTTGCCATGTCACGTTGTCTTTTTTGCTTCTCTTCTGCTGGTGCGAAACAAGAAGTCGAGCTGGCGGGCCATGTTGAGGGCCTTGGGCTATAATGGTATACATTTCTACACACCAGACAGGGTGGAGGAGGTGGTGGGAGTGACTCGTAACTTTGATGCCGTCCTCCTCTCGGGCATTCGGTGCGAGACCCGCCTCGCGGACGCCCAGGCCCTCACGCGCCGCGTGGGGGGCCGCATCCCTCCGCCTTCTCCAGCAGCTGCGGCTGCGCAGTCATCCTTGGCCCGTTCAAGGCCGGCGATATTCGGAGACTATGGAGGAGTGCTGGAGAGGCGGGGGGCGGAGGAGTTGCTGTTCGTGTGAAGCGTGGCACTACTGTGCTACTAGCTCTTACTATCCTCCCAAACCGACGAGTTCCCAGACAGCGGCTTACTTCAAAACGGTTAAAATCTTGCCGGACTGGTTTGAGGCTATCCTGGGTTCGCTTCCTGCACGTTAGTTGCCACTCGTATTCGGGGACGTCAACGATGGGATTGGTGAGGAATGGCGCCACGAGCCGTCGGGCTAAACTACAGCCGATCCGGGGGGCCCCCCACGTGACCACCCCCCTGTTTGCCTATTACTTCGTCACGCTAAAAGGAGGAGAGGTACGGGAGGAGGCACGTGTGCGATGGGATGCTGATCGTATGATGCGAAGCCTGGAAACTGGAGAGGGACGGTGGGATGTTTCACGTTTCGCTCATGCTGAATTCCAGCGAATACCCGTTCGAGAGCTACTCGACTGGTCTTCCCAGATACTCCGTTCGAACGAGTGGAGGAGGCTATTACGAGGGCGGGTAAGCTACATTTCGAGGAAATCAGGAGGTCGGGGCAAGGTGCAGTGAAGCTTGTAAGAGAAGACTGGAACTCCTTCGGCTTAGAGTACACGTTCGGGGAGGTAAACTTCACGCCAGTGCTGACCAAGTCTCGTCCATCGATGACGAGCTGAAGCACCTCTCTCGGATGCTCCATCAGGACCGTCGAAAGTACCTGTGCGCTCACCGTGATGCCCTTCTTTCCGAGGCTAATGATCACTGGGGCAGGCGACGTGCGGCAGAGGCTACGCAAACATCTAGGCGAGAGGCTCGTTGCCGCTACGGTCCAAAGTGACGGGATTCTCGTTTTGCAGGCAGTCGTGCGTTGCCGTCTTCAAAGGAGTGGCTGCAGATCTGGAAGGGAAGGAGGCATGGAGGTGCAGGCGACGGAATGGGGGACCCGGAGGAACGAGAGGGAAGAGCTGGAGGAGGTCAGGGGCGACGATGACCCCGACTCGGCCGCCTTTGCTAAACAGGAGGACATGGAGGAGTTCCGCAAGTACGTGCTCTATGGCCCGAAACGACGTGCTGTCCCGCATGGTACCTGCCCGCTCGAGCTTTTCCACATGTTATTGTTCCCGAAATGGAGGGTTGACCGCTCTCGCCTGGGCGTGGGGGCCGATAGCCGAGGCTCCTAGGGTGCCCGGCACCTGGTTCCTCGCGACTGCAAGCTTCCACGAGATCAGACGCTATCAGCTCTCACCACTCTATTGGCATCGCAGCCAGGCCGCGGCAGTATATAGGAGCTTCAGGCCTGGACCACTCGGCAAACGCGTCGTCCACCTTCTGCCTGTGCTGGGTAAGGGGCACTTCGCTAAACGACTTGTGCCGGCGCGTACCCTGGCGGACCGCGGGTTTGAGTCTGGCTGGCGCCGTGGGCATGCCATACTTATAGCGTGAAATTCTTCGTGGAGACTACGGGCCACGGGACGCGCGCGCGCTCTCTGCCGGAAGGATATGACTAACGCTTTCTCCAGTAGCACATGCGAGGCGATGTCCGACGCTGCTGATCTGCATGCGCAGGCCCACGACCGCGACCTCTGCCGAAAGAGATGCGAGCACTCGGCGGTGGCCCTCCCTTCCTGCGATGGCGACGCGATCGCGAAGCCTATCCAGGGGGGAGGGAGGGCGATGGGGGGCCCATGCATAGTGACGATGTTCCTCTCGGCTTGTTCGAGGCCTATACTGTCATGGCGGTGGAACCTTACCTAATGGGGCCGTTCCGTTCGCGATCTTCGCGCTGCTTGGGGGGACCTCAGTTCCGACTTATCAGTGTAGAAGTACGCGGGTGACTTGAATGAGTTCGTCTTGTCCGAATTTGATTCCACGTCCTCCGATTTCGCCTCAAAGCCGATTGGGGTCGACAGCTGCTTAAACGAGAAACTGGATGAATACGGGCGCGGACCAAATCTTGCAATGAGAGTTCCTGATCCATTTTAGCTGCCATGGGACGCGGGGCAAACAAGCGCCTAGGGGACGCAATCACGAGCTGGGTGGGGCGCCCGAGGACGCGGCGCGATATCTGGGGCCTTGCGCCGCCATGAGTTCTTTGGCGGCGCAGGAAGTCGCGAGGAGGATTCAAGCATCACAGGTTTCCTTCTACAGCCTGGGAGGCGTCTTGGGACTCTGTCTTCGGCATGAGTTTAAACGGTTGCTGATGCTCTGCTTTAGCCCAGAACGCGATCCTGAGTGGCCTGGGGGCTTTCGTTCTGGATGACCACGATTATGCGCGTCTCGATCACGGGATTGCAGCATGGGGGAGGAGGGCGTCGATGGGCAGAGCAGCACATGAGGGGGGATCATGTGCGATGCCTGTCTACGGTGCAGATCCTCTGGCACTGGCGGCTTGCGCCCAGTGCTGTGGAAATGCTCATCAGGCGTCTACGCGTGCGCCAGATCTGGGCCGGGGACCCCCCGCACCACGCCCAAGTTCTCTGCTGTCTTTTCGGTGAGATGGGTGCGGATCGGCATCGGTGGCAACGTATCGATGGTCGTCCGACGCAGTGCTCGTCGCTTTGGGTCAGGCAGATATGTCAGGACCTCGAGTCGGCCGCGTTGTCCCCGGAGTCGGGGGCCCTGGAAGAAGCACCAGAGGACCTGGGGATCTTTGGGGCGAGAAGAGGAGGGAGGAGTTCGTGGGCCTGGACGTTTCGGGGCTGCGGGCTCAGCATTTTTCTCGCCGCGCCCCTCCCCCTGGTCTCCATTCTGAGGCCAGTTTCGAAGGAGAAAACGCTGAGTTTGTCTGCGGTTTGCCTACTCATGCAAGCGACGGTGTGCCCTGTGCTGCGGCCTGTGTTCACCGTCGAGATTTGATGCACCACTATATGCAAGTGCGCCACATCCGCGACCTCAGCCGCGCGTTGACTCCAATTAATGTCTTCATACACAGTCGGCAAGTGTTTGGTAGCCTTTTTCAACGCCGCCGGGCATCTTCGGGGATCCCTCACTCGAGGGCACCGCTGCACTGGTGGTCCCACAATGATGAAGACAGCTGCGGACCCGGCGGGCTCCCTGGCATGCCCAACATGTAACCATTCAGGCCCGTCCCTTCTTGCTCTGCGCGAACGCCTCTGCTCGCATCTTCCGATCGCGCTGCGTCCTGTCATTGCTCGAGAAGCGCAGCAACGTGAAGATGAGCGACGTGGACATGCCTTCGCGATTCAACAAGGGCGCGACGCGGCCCCGCGAACGGGCGATTTGTTTAGATAGTTCAGGTGCTCCGAAGTTGTTGTAGAGTTTTGTTTCAGAGTTCTTCTGTTTTCAGTCGCCCAGAGTTTTTCAGCGTTCTAGAGCTTTTCTGGATTGTTTGACGTTTTTTTTTGAGTTTGCGTTTCTTCACTCGATAAGGCGGTAGACCGCCTGTAGTCGCTATTGCCGGAATTAAGGCGAGGATTAGGCGGAAGATGTTGCTGATGATGTGGTTATGATGGTGACGGGGAGCATTTGGGGGGAAGTGTCATCCTCGGTTTTCGGATGTTTCCAGAAGTGTATAGCGTTAGCTGGAGGTGACGGAGATAGTTATCGGTGGAAACCTCCGATCATCCACGAGCACCTCCCTTTCCATCTCTTTCTCCTGCCCCGCGTCCTCCTTCATCTTTCCTCGACGAGGGTTTCCCCGTCGTGCCGCCGTCACGGCGACGATGATAACAATATGTTGACGACGGTGGTGGCAGAGATACTGCGACTCTGACGATCATGATGGTGGGTGTGACGTCTATAAGGACGGTGCCGGCGGCGGTGACCTTCGACGGCGGTGCCGATGGTACGTCTGGTCGCATGGCGGATGCCCACCAGCCCATCCAGAAACGAGTTCCAGGAGGTTGGCCAGATGAGGGAAGTGTGGCTGTACGCAGTGGCACAGACATAAAAGGGGGGGGCGACAGCCGGCATGCCACTTTTGCATGTCCTGTTCTCTTGTAGAAAGTGGGTGGTTTCTGGTTGTGTCGACGCGAAGGCCTCCACGGCGACCTCCTGGAGTCAACCAGAAAGGCCTAAGGCCTTTTGCAACGTACCAGCCTTCTCGAAACATTGAGCTCGAAATGATCCGATACCGCACTGTTGGAGCAGCAGGGGGAAGGATCACTAGCAGGAGGAGCAGGAGGAGGGAGAAACGACCAGGATGAAGCATGGGAGTAGGATGATGTCATGGTCGTTATTCTGCCGCTGCTCTGCTGGTCGAGTCGGGGAGGGGGTTTACTCCTTTGCCAGCAGAGACAAGCCTCTCTGTATATCTGGAGGGGGGCGCTAAACCACACATACGGTAGGTTCGCGCAGTGCCGACCCGGCTGCGTCCCCAGCGCGGTTGTTCAAGGCTGAACGCCGCCAGTGTCGGCGACTGCAAAGGGTATGGTTACGCCGGGGTGTGGTTGCGATCGGCACCGTTGGGGCCTGGGGGGCACGACGCTGTCCTCGTCGGGCCTCCTCGGGGCGCGGGAGGAGTCTATCGAGGTCCCCACGCG